TTGTTGGCGCATGGTGTGAGCTTTGCTTGAACGTTGTTTGGGTTGTCGTACTGGATCTTTGGTTGAGCGTTGGTTGAGCTTTAGTTGGAGCTCTGCTGGAGCGTTGTCCGAGCTGTGCGCGTGTGTTGGCTGAGCTGTGTTCGAGCTTTGTCTGAGCGTCGTGTAAGCCCTATGTGGACTGTGGTTGGTCTTTGCTTAGGCCCTGTTTGAGTTGTGTTGGAGCGTTGCGCGAGCTTTGTTGGAGCGCTGCGCTCTGTTGGAGCGTTGCTGGAGCTTCGCTGGAGCTTTGTTGGAGCTGCGTTGGAGCATTGCTGGAGCCTTGCATGAGCATCGCAAGAGGGCGCAGACAGACCTCCCGCACACCCCGTGTCCAACGGGGGGAGGCACTCCCCGCCAAATGTTGAGCGCTGTTGGAGCGTTGTTGAGATTGGTTCGAGCTGGGCTCGAGCTTTGCGCGAACCTTGTCCTGGCCTTGCTTGAGCTGTACTGGAGCTGTGGTTGAGCCTTAGTGGAGCGTTGCTCGGGGTTCACGTGGGCTTTGTTGGAGAGTTGCTGGATCTTCGTTGGAGCTTTGTTCCAGTTTCGCTGGAGCTGTGTTGGAGCTTTGTATTAGAGCGTTGTTGGAGCATTGTTGGGGCTTCGCGCAAGCTTTGTTTGAGCCTTGTGCGAGCTGTGCTCGAGCTTGGTTCAAGCTTTGTGCATGCGTTGTTTGAGCTTTGCTGGAGCTTTGTCGGGGCGGTGGCGGGGCTCCGTTGGAGCTCCATGCGGGCTTTGTCTGCAGCTCGCTGCGAGCTTTGCGCGAGTTTTGCGCGAGCGTTGTTGGAGCGTTGCTGGAGCGTTGCTGGAGCGTTGTTGAAGCGTCGTCGGAGCATTGCTTGAGCTTTGTTTGAGCTTTGCCTGAGCTGCGGTGGAGCGTTGTTGGAGCGTTGTTCGAGCTTTGTTGCTGAAGGTTTGCATAAAAGTTGTTTGAGCGCTAGTCGAGTGTTATCTGACATTCGTTTAAGTTTGGTATGTGCTTCGGTTGTTCCCTGCTTGAGCGTGCCTTGAATGGTGTTGAAGCGTTGTGGGAGATTCGGTGGAGCGTTGAGCTTTGTTGGAGCGTCATTGGAGGAGCGTTGCTGGAGCTTTGCTGGAGCTTTGTTGGAGATTTGGCGGGGCAGTGCTGGAGCGTTGCTTGAGCTTCTTTGGGGGGCGCAGACAGACTCCCCGCCCCCCCCCTCTGTTTCGATCCCCGGGGGGGGGTCGGCAGGGGGTAACCATCCACCCCCCGTCCTAGATACGAACCAATCTTGAGCGTTGTGTGAGCTTTGCTTGAGCTTGGTTTGAGCTTGGCTTGAGCTTTGTTTGGGTTTTGTTTGAGCCTTGTGTGAGCTATATTGGATCTTTAGTTGAGCTTTGTTGGAGCATTGCTTGAGCTTTGTTTGAGATTGATTGGAGCTGACTTGAAGCTTTGCTGGAGCGTTGGTGGAGCTACTGCAACTATGTTGGAGCGTTGCGTAAGCTGTGCTGAATATTTGTCTGAGCTTTGATCCAGCTATGTTGCAGCTTTGATTGAGCTGCGTTTGAGCTGTGCCTGAGCTTTGTTTGAGCTTTGTTGAAGCTTTGTGAGGGTTTTGTTGAAGCATGGTTGGAGTTTCCTGTGAGCGGTGTGTGAGCTGTTATTGAGCTGCGTGTGAGCTTTGTTTAAGCTTTGATTGAACGATATCCAGTTTTGTGTAGGCCTTGTTTGCGCTTTGCTGGAGATTAGCTGGAGTTTTGTTTGAGATTTGTTTGCCCTGCTGGAGCCATGTTGGAGCTTTGTTTGAGCTTGGTTGGAGCACTGGTTGAGATTGGTTGAGCTTGGTTTGAGCCTTGTTGAAGCTTTGTTCAAGCTTTGTTCGAGTTTTGTTCGATCTTTTCTATTCGGAGCTTTGTTGAGGCTTTGTTCGAGCTTTTGCGTGAGTTGTTTTGAGTTTTGTTCGAGCTTTGTTTGAGCTTTGTTTGAGCTTTGTTTGAGCTTTGCTTGGACTTTGTTTGATATGTGTTTGGGCTTTGTTTGAGTTGTGTTGAAGCTTTGCTGCAGCGCCGTTGGAGCATTGAGCTTCGTTTGACCTTTGATGGAGCGCTGTTGGGGCTTTGTTGGAGCTTTGTTGGAACAGTTTGGAACTTTGCTTGGGCTTGTTGGGAGGTGCAAACAGATTCCCCGCCCTGCCTGGTTCGAACCAGCGGGGGGGCAAGAAGGATAGGTCCACTCCCCGCCCTGGCCTCGAAACGATGCAGAGCGCTGTTGGAGCTTTGATTGAGCCTTGTTGGAGCCTTGCTTGAAGCGTGTTTGGGCTATGCTTCCACCTTGTTGGAGCTTCCTCTGATATGTATGTGAGATTTGTTTGAACTCTGTTGGTGCTTTGTTGGGGCGTTGTTTGAACTCTGTTGGAGCGTTGGTGGAGCTTTGTTTGAACTTTGTCTGAGCTTTGCGTGAACTTTGTTGGAGCTTTGCTTGGGTTTGGTGTGAGCTGTTTGTTGAGTTGTGTGTGAGCTTTGTTGGAGCTTTGTTTGAGCTTACTTTGAGCTGTGTTTGAGCCTCGTTGGATTGTGGCTGAGCTTTGTTTGAGCTCTGTCGGGGCTCTGCCGGAGCTTTGCTGGCGCTCTGTCTGTGAGCTCTGCTTGAACTCAGCCTGAGTTTTGCTGGAATTCTGCTTGCACTTTGCGTGGGCCTGTTGTCGGCGAAGCGTGCGAGGCTGCCCGGCATAGCACGGACAGTGAGCCGGTCCGCCTGCTCTTCGGGTTCGAAGTCCGCAGGGGAGAGAGCCGTCCCCGCCCCCGACCCCTTCCCAGTCCCCGCCCCCACCCCCTGGTTCGAACGGGGGGGGGGGCTTGCCACTAGCGGCAGAAAGCGCTCTTCCCGTTGTCGGGACACCAGTCCTGACCGCAAGGGAAAGAGAAGCTGATAGTCAGCACCATCATCTGAAACCACTGATCGAAAACGCTGCCGCATTGTCAGCCTTGGCCCCATCGAACAGAACTCGGGACTGGGGGCGGTAGACAGAGACTCCCCCATACAGGGAGCCTCCAAAGGCGACTTCGAAGAACCTCCGGCCACCCTGTGCACCTCAAGTCTCGGAAGAGAAGGATGAGCACCGGCAGCAGCTGGTGGAGGAGCCGGAACTCCCTGGTCCCCGCAACAAGCCCGCAGGAAGAGCAGCACGTGGAGGAGCGAGGCCCCTTCGTTCCGCAAACGCATGTCCGCAGGAGCACCCTCCAGACACCAGACGTCCGCGACTTTCTCACGGCGTGGCTCCCCAGAGGTCTGGAACCCTTCCCGGGGGGCCGGCTTTTCATCCTGAGCCGACTTCTGATGGCCCCGGGGGCCTGGTAGGAGCCCCGCGGTGGTCCCCGATAGAACCCCCATTGCCTACGACTATGGATCTCGACTCCCAAGATCGCCGCACGGGGCTCCAGAAGTTTCTGGTCATATTTGGCTTCCTGTTCCCCTGCTCCCGCCGCTGGCACGGCGCGCCCCCAAGATGGCGAAAACTGCAGAAAGAAACTTCCGGCGCGATCTCTCGACGGCGCACAGAGGTCGGGGCGGCAGTGCCTCCTCCAAGGGGAGCTGCCTGCCGGCTGGGCCGCCGGCGACGGTGCGAGGGTCCTCAGCGTTTACGCTGCGCGGACATGGATCTGGGATCGTTTCGTTCTGCGTGTGCAGAAACGGAGGAGGAGGAGGAGGAGCAGAAGGGGGAGGAGGAGGAGGAGGAGGCGGCGGAGGAGGGGGAGGAGGAAAGGGAGGCGGGGGCGGGGGCGGGCACCAGGGCACTCAGGCCGCAAGCAGACTGAGGATCCTCCACTCCCCCTGCTCCTCCTGTCGCCGCCGCAGCTCGGCTCCGCGAGACCCCAGGTCCGCGCCCGCGTCGCGGCGCCCACGCAGGGGCGCCCGCCGCCGCGGCCGCGGGTGCCATCCAGTCCTCAACCTCTTCCTCCTCCTCCTCCTCCTCCTCCTCCTCCTCCTCCTCCTCCTCCTCCTTCTCCTCCCCTTCCTCGTCCTCCCCCTCCCTCTCCTCCATCCCTTCTCCTTATAAACAACTCCTTCCTGTCCCACCCCGAGGCCGGTCGAAAGGGCGGGCCCGGCGCTTCGCTGAGACTTCCTCGCCGCTTATGATCCTGAAGCTTGAATATTGCAAGAGATTCACGTATGGAGACCGGCCCGTTTTCAAAATGCGGCTATCGCTTTAGCGCCGCGCACACTCGTTGCAACAAATCCCCAAAAAAATGCACTTTCACGGATTGACGGCGGGCGGTTCTCAAAATGTAGCTCCCGCCCTATCGCCGCGCAAACTCGTCATACTAATTGCGAAAGCTTCACGGATCGAGGGCGGGCGTTTTTTGTGGTTCTCACATTAGCGCCGAGCACATTCGCTTAAGAACTCAGACGAGCTCCACGGTTACAGGGCGATTACTTTAAAAAATGTAGCTCTCGCCTTAGCGTCGCGCATATTCGTCATAAGAGTTTGCAACAGTTTCAAGGATTCTCATGGCTACCGTCCCAGAAAGTGTGTTTTGGCATGATGTCGACATGTCAGGGCGCAGCAATCATGTTAATTCGCGGTGTTGACGTCCCAGGAATTGTGTTCAAGCACGATTCAGGATCGCCAAGACGCAACAGCAACGGTAATTCGCGGCATTTACCTCCCGGGAATGGTGCTCTGGCACAGTTCTGGGTTTTCAAACGATTGTTTTCCAACGGAGCATTTCCTTCAGTGAAAATGAATACGTGTAGGGGCCTATGAAGAGTTGAACTTGGAGAAAAGGTTTCTTGCAAAATCGTTAAGGAGTCTTGGGTTTATACTGGTCCACCTCATCATCCGCCTCCTCCTCCTCCACCTTCTCGCCTTCCTCCTTCTCGTCCTCCTTGTCCTCCTCCTCCTCCTCCTCCTCCTCCTCCTCCTCCACCTTCTCTCCTTCCTCCTTGTCCTCCATTCTCCTCCTGCCCGCAGACCCCCCACCCCAAAAGAAAAGAAACAGTCCTCCGCGAGCCCCCCGCTGCCGGACGCCGCCTGGGGCGCCGAAGCGCCAGCCTCGCCGCCGGAGGGCGTCTGTGGCCCTTCGGCGCTCTCGCTGCCACGCCGGCGGGCGGCCGGAAGGGCGGCGTCGTCCTGGCCGGCGTGCAGAGTGCGGGCGGGACCCTATTTACGGTAGAGAACTTTGCGCCTCCTCCTCCTCCTCCTCCTCCTCCTCCTTCTCCTCCTCCTCCTCATCCTGGTAACTTCGCGCTCCCGGATGTTCGGGCTCTCTGAGGCGGCCGAGGCTGCTCAGAAAAAGGGGGCCCCATTACGGTGGGACCCCTTTTGCTTCGCATATCACGGCGGCGGTCCCGGCGGCACGCTGTGCCTCACGGGTGGACAGCGCGGCGTCAGACACTCGCGAAGGGCGTCGGTGCTGGCCGCGGCGGCGGCGCTGGACCGCGGAGCTACACTGGATCCATGGCCACCGCCACTGGTCGAAGCACCGGAAATCGGCACGCTCTCCAGACCAGCACCTGTGCCAACTGGGAGGGAGTGAGGCCCAAGCCGAGGGCGACCTCAGCGGGCGGCTGAACACGATTAGCGCTCAAGGGCAACAATGGCAGCCGCCCTGATGTCACTCGCAGATTCGAACGTCATGGGAATGTGGGGCGCAAAGTTCTTACACTTGTGATACATGTGGAAGGCAAGCGGTGTGGCCTGTATGCGTTCTTTGCGAGAGTTCCGATCCGACCCTCCCGTAATTCGCCCCCCGACCGAGCCCTATCCAGATGATCGTGTCACTTGGAACTGGCGTCTGCGCCACTCCCTGAACATGGCCATGTGATAGCATAAGCGTGTGCAACGCACCTAATACGCCATCTGACCAGGGGCCTCACAGCCCAACACGCATTTTGCAGGAGGCGTGCCTACATGAAGCCTGCATGTGGTCGTCCAAGCTCCTGCTAGCATCTTCATTCTACTCCACTGCCAGACGGTCTTCAGCGATTGCAGGCATCCCTTGCATTCCCCCCACCAGTCCTCCATCCCCGCCCGACCCCCAGGAATCATGATGGGCCATGCACTGAGCCTCTTACAGAGAGTGGTGATGGCATGCGTGTTTGGAAAGGCCGACGGGCGCAAGGTTCTCGCAAGCATTCACTGTGGATGTGGCCTCTTGCGTAACCACTGGGGCCTTAGGTGGAGCTGCCTATGGGTCCACGAAACGTGTGAGGGGGTGTGCCAAAGTGGGGTGGCGGGAGAGAAGGGAGGAGGGCGAGGAGGGGAAGGAGGAGGAGAGGAGAGGCGAGGCGAGGCGAGGAGAGGAGAGGAGAGGAGAGGAGAGGAGAGGAGAGGAGAGGAAAGTAGAGGAGAGGAGAGGCGAGGAGAGGAGAGGAGAGGAGAAGAGTCGAGAGGAGACGAGAGGAGAGTAGAGGAGGGTAGAGTAGAGGAGAGGAGCGGGGAAGAGACAAGAGGAGAGGAGACGAGAGGAGAATAGAGGAGAGGAGAGGAGAGATGCCGGGCGCCGCTGATTCAAAACGAGGACCCAACTCAACACAGGATGATGATCGGGTACAAAATATGGCGAGAGAACAAAACGAGAACAAGAGCGGAAACTTGACCCAACACGGCAGGGGAAAGGGAACGGTGGAGGGGAAAAAGAGAAAAGGGGGCGGGGAAGGGAGAGAGGAGGGGAAGGGAGGGCGTGAGAGGAGAGGGGGGGACCAGGAACGAGGAACGGCACATGCTGAAAAGACGGAGAGGGAGAGGGAAGTGGGGCAGCAAAAGGGTACCCATACTGCTGCTCCTCGGAGGCTCTCTCGGGTTGCGTTCTGACCCAAAATATCGGGCAGCATCCAGCCGTGCCGACGAGAGCCCTCCTCCTCCTCCTCCTCCTCCTCCTCCTCCTCCTCCTCCTCCTCCTCCTCCTCCTCCTCCTCCTCCTCCTCCTCCTCCTCATCCTGCGAGGAGGAGGGGCAACTGAAGGAGAAGTACGGAAGCGAAAAAGCAAAAAGCGGCGCCTGCTGTGCCAGGGGCGGTAGGTGCAGGTGCAGCGCAGGCGGCCGCGGCCCCGCGGACGGAGCCGCCGCCTCGGGGCCGCCCAGCTCCCGCACCTGACCAGCCTCGAGCTTGTCCCGGGGGTACGTCCGTGCGGCGTCGGCACGCGCAAAGGTCCTCGACACCGCGTCGATCGTTCAGCCTCGAATCGATCGCGGCCCCGATCGTTCCAGGTTGTGAACCATCCGGTCCAGTGGCGTCACCGTGTCCCTCGGTACTGCCGCGTCGCAGAATTCGGCCTTGAACGCCTTCGTCGGCGTCGCCGGCGCGCCATCGCCGCATGAACCTACTGTGACCCCAAGACTGACAAGCCCAGAGGCGATGGCAATCTTCGGGATGCGCCCTCGGACACCGAGGGGATCCTGAACCTCGGCGTCGAGATACACAAGGCGATGCCAATCATACTCTGGAGGGGGCAACGATCGCCCCCCAATTTTTGGATCCGCGGTGGGTGGGGGGGGCACGGCACGTGCTGCCGGGACGGGTGGAACAGGATTGGAGTCGGAGGAGGAGGCGGAGGAGGAGGAGGAGAAGGAGAAGGAAGAGGGGGAGGAGGAGGAGGGGGAGGGGGACTCATCATCGGTCCCCTTGAAGCATGACCTGGGTGCAAGCGTGCCAACGACGGACCGCCCGAGACAGATGCTCAAACGATCGAGCCAAACCACAGCATCCTGAGGCTTTGCGAAGGATGCTGACGCCGAGAGCAGCGAAAGGAGCACACGCAACTGCAGCCCCGATGGCGTACAAATCGCCGAACCTCTAGCCGACAAGCGGGCCCGACTCCGGTGGGGGACGGGCGGCACTGCGAAGGGGGCTACGGAAGCTCGAGCTCGCAGCAGCAAAACACGATAAACAGCGAGAGGCGGGAAGCGTCGCAAGGTCTACGGATTTAACCTTGAACAGACCTCGCGCACTAACCCGCTGCAGAAAATCAGTCGGAGTACCACGACTCACTGCGCATCGGCACCACAAGAGGAGACTCGTCCTCTTCGCGGGCGAGGCGCTCGCCCACCTGCCGCAAAACGGGCACGGACCCACTCCCGCCACCCCCACTCCACGCCCCCATCTGGAGGTAGCGCGCAGCTTCCTCCTCCGCGTCAAAGCCGGCGAAAGGATCTACATGCGCTGGAGAGGCGGCAGCGACAGGCAGGGCCTGCCTCGCACCAAGGCTAGAGCCGCGTGCGGGGGCGACCAAGCCAGCAACGGAACTCTATGGCCCAAGCATCTGCATGCAAGTTCCCCCATCCGATACGACGTTCCTAGTCGGGTAGGGCACCGATGACACTCCGCTCAAGATGTGCAGGCGCGTGCACAACTGGTGCATCATGCCCCGAAGCTTCGCGCATCAGCGACCCGCGCCGAAGGCCAGCATAGCGATGCGCCCTTGAAACTTGTCGCGCAGGATCTGCGCGGCAGAGCTTGGTAACCGCCATCTGGGACGTTCAAGGCAAGGTGTTCAACGCCGCGCCTCGAGCAGCAGCTACAACCTCACCCGCCCCAGGCCCCAGGAACACCCATGAATAGGAGGCCCGAGACAACTCGCGGATACTATGGCGCATAGCCGAACCATCCACACAAACATCGAGCCCCCGCAGGTCGATGGAATGCCAAGGCACGGGGCCCCCAGCAGCATCATACAGCGTCGGGTTCGGGTCCGTGGCAAGGGAGGGGAGGGCGGTTTCGGGATGGTTCCATTTCACCTCATCGAAGAACAGCCTGTAGCCGCTCTCTAGGGCCTCGGCGCGCCACCCAACAGGCACCCCCCCGAGAGCGTCGGCTCGAGCTCGGGCAGCGGCAGGGCGCATGCACTGCAACAGGCCGCGGCGGACGCCATCGAGTTGACCGCCGAGAGGGCGCAATCCATTCGCCGGATAGCCGCGCGAGCGGGCTCGGGCACGCGTCCACGCGCCTCTACAAAAGCATGCGAGAGCAATATACTTCTCTCGCGGGCTGAGACCTTTCGCTTGGGGTCCGAGGGCCTTCTTAAGGGGGCCAAAACAAACTCGGGCCCCGTTAAACCCAGGGGCGTTAGCAGCTAAGGCCCGCCCATGAGCCCGCCCGGTGGCAAGGTCCAGCAAGCGGGAGAGCATGGAGGGCGAGGTGCACCCTATGTAGGCATCCTTGCCCCTTTCGTCTCGAGAGGTCAGCGCCGACGTGGAAACCCACACTAACCTATGGAGGCCGAGGTGCACGCGCTGAATTGGGCCCTGGAACTGCGCCAAGCGACCTGATCATCAAGCAGGATGGCACGCCATATGGCGCACAGCTCCTTGACCATGCACATAGAGCTCTTTAGGGCGCGCGAGTGCCGCCCAAACCACCCCCGCCCAGTGAAGTACAGGGGCCACGGCCCCCCGCCACATTGGATCCCCAAGGATAGGGAGCTTGGCCCGGAGGGGGCACCCGTTGTGTCGAGGGCGGGGCAGAGAACCCAACGGGGCTGGAGAGGCTCCCGGCCACTCATCCCCACCGCCCCCGATTCGAGACTGGCCGCTGACAAAACTCCAGCGACGTAGATTTCCCCCATGCGACCCTTCTGCCGATGGGGGGGGGGGGGGGGCGCGACAGTTGCGCCGAAGCACGCGACGCCGCCGATGCACGCAACGGAAGCGAGCCTTGCGCTTCCACAAGGCACGGGTCGCAGATCTCCTCTGGGCAGGGGCGAGGTCGGCGCCGATGGGGGGGGCCAAGCCGTTGGAAACTCAACCTGACATGGCGCCCAGGTGGCGCGCGATGGCCTTGGCCGAAGCAACGGAACTGCCACAAGTGCAATCTTTATCGGGGCGAACTGCAACTCGGAGCTCATCTCTAAGAAAGATGCACAGCTCTGCTGCTGCCTTATTTATGTTACCCACTACTTCCAACTCCGCCCCATCCGTCGTCACACTGTCGTCGTCGACGTACCACGATAACCGCGCATCCCCATGGATCGAGACGAAATTGTCGAAAGCTTCGACGATGTAGACCCGCGCGAATACATCGTTGAATCTGCCCCCAGCAGGAAGGCCAGAAGATGCGAAGCAAGGCAGAGCGGCACGCTGAGCACCTAGACGGAGGAGCCGAGTGCCACGCCAAAAATTGCACGTCGTCTTAACGATCGCACCATCTACGCCGAGAGCGAGAGCGCGCTGGCGGAGCAAATCTAAGCCGAAAGACTCGCAGTACTTCGTCCCGCCCCATATTAATCCCCCCGCCACCTCATCACCATGATGGACAGCCTCTGCCCGCACAGCTTGATGCCACACAGCGTCTTCAGCAGATCTACCTGGCCCAAAAGCCCAGCACCTGCGAGGGTGCCGATCGTTGAACTCAACGATGACGGGCCTTCTCAATCTCTGCCAAATTCCAACGGGCACCGCAAGCAAGAAAATAAGCCGAAGGCCTCCTTTCGGGTTGTTCCAAAAGCGGGGAAAAAAGGCAGAACAACTGCTTGGGGAAGAAGCCCAGGGACTCGATCGCTTGCACAATCGCAGCAAAGGTTCCTCTAGCCGAGCCCGTTGCGAGGCTGAACTGTTTCGGGTGTAACCCGTCAAGAGACTGGGACGCGCTGCGACTAAAACTGTCCGAGGCGCCCCGAATCTCGGCCGCCGAGGGTCGAGGCCGGCGGGCGCAATCGGGCACGCAAACCTCAGGCGGCACATGAAACGCACGCAAAAAACCTGGCCAGCCCCTCTCCTTCACGTCGGAGGAGAAGCTGGGGATTGCTCGAGAAAGCTCCAGGATGGGTCTGAACGACCGCGGGATTCCATCTCGTTTTCAATCTAATGAGCCCGCGCATGGCCCTGACCCCCCCTTCCAAAGTTCGCCCCTGCCATTGACCCCAGCTATCCTACTGTCGCATATAAACGGCCGTCCCGGTCGAGAGGAGGCCGCCCCCCCACGAACGCAAAAACTCACGGCACTCGTCGCGCCAGCTATTCTGAGAGCCTGACACAGGGGAACCTGCCCACCAGACCGCGAGCTCGTCGAAGAGCGGGGCCCACGCGAATGTCGATACCTTCGCCTGGGCGCGAAAGTCCTACAAGCTGCTGAATCTGAAGATGCACATCCTGCTGCAGCTGATCGTGGGCGGCAACATCAACAAACCCATCGGGATCCTCGGGCCCCGGGGCCACCGCTTTCAAGAGCCTCACGGAGGCCCCCATCGTTTCACAGAGGTGCTGGGCGAGCCAAACCCATCACCGAGACTCCGAGGGGGGTTCTCAAGGACTCGAGGTCTGGCCAAACTCGGGGCCCATCTTGGTTTTTTGAATGATCGCCCCGAAAGCCTTTGCACTGCACAGTCTCTCCAGCGCAGCCCTCGACCTCGAGCTCGAAGGGGCCGGCAAAGCGCTGCCACGCCACCGAGAGGAGCGCCCGAGCCTGGCCAACCGGCGCCGCGAGAGCCGAAGCGCATCGGGCCCGAGGTTTAAGACCCCGGGTCGGCGAGGGCGACGGGCCCAATCCGTGACCGCCTGGGCCCCATCACTAGCCTTAGCGAGGTCCGAACAAGGGGGTAATCAATCGTCGTTCAGCCGGTGGGGGAGGGGCAAGTTTTCTGACTAGGAACGAACAGATCCCCCACCCGTACGCCTACACACTCCAGAGGCATCAACCAAACTGGGGTCGAGCTCCCAGTCGCACCCAGCAAGAAACACGCGCCCCCCTATCGAGCCTTTCCCCCATGAGGCAAAGCAAGTGGATATTCAACTTACACGCGCCAGTGCCACTCTTAAGGCATCGACACTGGACCTGCAGGGGGGGCCAGCCCGGCAAATCAACAACGACGCGCATCAACCTCCCATGGAAGAGGATGCCCGAACGATCCGCTGGCCATCTGAGGCCGAGGCGCGAGCGAACAAACGCGGCCGCCCCCGCCCAGGCTCGGCCAGCCCCACCAGGGAGGGGCGGGGAAGAAAGCATTTTCTACCCCAGGGCCCCCGTCGCACTGGATCCCCCCCCTTCTCTGTCCCGAAGAAAGCCCACCTCCTGCGCTGGCGGGATGCTCGCCGAAGACATCCGCGGCCGTTCCCGCCGCGCGGGCCAACTATTACCGCTGCGCGCTTCGACGCAGCTG